ATTTTTGATTTATTGTAGAGATGAGGTCTCGCCAAGTTGCCCAGGCGGGTCTCGAACCCACGAGCTCAGGCAATCCACTCACCTCAGCCTCCTAAAGCGTTGGGATTACAGGCTGAGCCACTGAGCCTGGCAGAAATGAGATTTCTTTAAGGGTGATAAAAATGTTCTAGAATTGGATAGTGGTGATGGTTGCATAACCGTATGTATATTCTACAAACCACCAAACTGTATGTTTTTAAATAATTTTGCTACATCAATTATATCTCAATAAAACGTAAGTATATATTGATGACAGAAATAAATATTGGATAATTTCAAAGTATCTCACTCTAAATACTTAGTAATTACCAAGAGAAAAGTAAATTACAAAGTTTACATTGCAGAACCCTGGCAGACACCACCTTAGCAAAGAGATTAAGGTCAACACCACCAGTGGGGAAAAAAACATCATGTATACCCCAATATGATACATTGAGGAAGGCACATTCAGTTCCATGGTATCCTTCCCAATAATGCAAAACCTTGATCTAATCAATGAGAAAATATGAGACAAACCCAAATTGAGGAATGTTATACAAAATAACTGTCCAGTACTATTCAAGAGTGTCAAGGACAGAAAAATTGGCTGGATATGTGGTACATACCAGTGTCCTAGCTACTGGGCAAGCTGATGCAGGAGGATCACTTGATGCCAAGAGTTCAAGACCAACCTGGGCAACATAGCAAAACCCTGTCTCCACAAAAAATACAAAAATTAGCCAGGTGTGGTGGCGCACGCCTGTAGTCAGCTATTTGGGAGGCTGAGGCAGGAGTATTACTTGAGCCTAGGAATTCAGGGCTGCAGTAAGCCATCATCACACTGCTGCACTCCAGCCTGGGCAAGAGAGGCAGACGCTGACTTTAAAAAAAAGAAGTGTCAAGGACATGAAAAACTGAGGAACTGCAGTCAGAGGAGGCTACAGGTACATGACAGCTAAATACACTGCGATCCTGGACTAGATACTAGAACAGAAAAAGGACACCAGTAGAAAAACTGTTGAAGCTGTAGTAAGTTCTGTACTTAGTAGTATTACACCAAGGTTAATTTCTTAGTTTGATCAATAGTCTATGGTTATATATTAACAAAAGGGAAAGTTGGGTGAAAGATATAAAGGAATTCTCTGTACTATTTTTGCAAGCCTGCAATTATCTCAAAATTTTTTTTAAAAATAGCTACTAAGAAATGCTTTATGAAATGAAAATGTTTAGTAGAAGAGCTAGGAGATAAAATTCAGAAAATTTCCCAGATTATAAAACAAAATCCTAGACTTGCAGGCCAAGATTCTTGTCTGTGATGTTACAAAAGTCTTCATTCAGGAAGAAATAAGATTGTAAACTAAACATTGTTCTAAAACATGGTACCACAAAGCCTTAGTCATACCAAAAAGATAATGAAAGGGAAGAGAAAAAAGAATGAAATGTTCTATAAAAAATGTTATATCTGCCTAGGCACAGTGGCTCACACCTATAATCCCTGCACTTTGGGAGGCCGAGGTGAGAGGATTGCCTGAGCCCACCGGTTCTACATCAGCCTGGGCAACTTGGCAAGACCTCACCTCTACAATAAAAAGAAAAAAAATTAGCCAGGCGTGGTGGCGTGTGCTTGTAGTTCTAGCTACTTGGAAGGTTGAGGCAGAAGGATCACCTGAGCCCAGCAGGTCAAGGCTGCAGGGGCCATGAGCGTGCCACTGCACTCCAGCCTAGGCAAGAGAGTGAGATTCCAACTCCAAAAAAAAAAAAGTTATATCTTACAGTTTGTCCTAAGTATGCTAGGCATTTATGATTCTGCTTTACCATCTCCAATACTATAATACTCACTACCTCATGTTCTGATTTCTGACTCTATTTCCTTACATCTAACTAAAATCTGCCAGGTATGGTGACTCACACCTGTAATCCCAGTATTTTAGAAGGTGAAAGCAAGAGGATTGCTTGAGCCTAGGCATTCAAGATCAGCCTAGGAACACAGCAAAACCTCATCTCTACAAAAAAGAAAAAATTAGTCTGGCATGGTAGCATGCACCTGTAGTCCCGGCTACTTGGGAGGCTGTGGTGGAAAGATCACCTGAGCCCAGGATGTCAAGGCTGCAGTGAGCTGGGACCACGCCACTGTACTCCATCCCAGGTGGCAGAGTGAGACCCTGAAAAATAAACAAAAACCTAAAAACTAAAATCTGCTTTACATTTATCTCAAATACTGAGAATCTTACAGTCTAACAGGCCAAAAGGACAAATTCACCCAGTGGTTCTCATGGACCAACAGCATCAGTCTCTCTAGGCAACTGTGTTAGACATGTAAATTGTATGCTCCAACTTCAAAACCTCAAAATCAGAAATTCTGGTGGTAGAGCCCTGTAATGAAGTTTTTTTGTTTGTTTGTTTTTTGTTTTTGAGTTGGAGTCTCACTCTGTCGCCCAGACTGGAGTGCATTGGCCGCTCCCGGCCACCGCAGCCTCAACCTGCTGGGCTCTGGCGATCCTTCCTCCTCAGCCTTCCAAGTAGCCAGAATTACAGGCATGCGCTACCACGCCCGGCTGATTTTTTTTTTTTTTTCTGATTTATTGTACAGATGAGGTCTCACTGCCCAGGCGGGTCTCTAACCCGCCGGCTCAGGCAATCCACTCACCTCAGCCTCCCAAAGGCGCGGGATTACAGGCTGAACCACCGAGCCCAGCCTGTAATGAAGTTTTAACAAGCTCTCCATGTAATTCCAATAAAGGCTAAAGTTTGAGAACAACTTATCTTATCCAATTTCCCACTAAAGTGATTTGCTTAAAGGAACAAGGTTTCTTAGAAGTGGCCATGCCTAGAAGCTAGGCTCCCAACTCTAGTCCTATGCACTTAATATTTACCCCATGCTGTCCCACTATGGGTTCTGGTTCTTTTCTCTGGGACAAAAAAGCCTAAATCGAATTTGTATTTCTTCAATTATCATATCTTTCTTTCCCTACCATCATTTTCTGTTCCTCTAGTTCCAGCAATCTTTTGCCATGTGGTATGATGGTTTTATCTTGTCTTACATAAAATGTGTCACTCTGAATGGAACCCAACACTCTTGGCAGGCAGTAGAAACAAAAATAATTAGAAAACTGATTCCTTAAACTGACTGGAACTATTATGTATAACTAACATGTTTCTCATGTATCTTCTCTATTCTGTCATGTGTCTCCGTTTGTATTTAGAGGAAATATTATTTAGCACATCAATACAATCTGTGATGGTTTTCCTACCCTGATATCAAGAGTCAGTCAAATACCACATGTCCCATGAGCCGATGACTGCTGGTATACTATGCATACACATGTAAAGGTGAGCAAGGCACCATAAGGTATGAGTAAACCCCAAAATCTATGCAATAAGTTTAGAGGAGAAAAAAGGGAAGCAAGATAAAGATTAAGTCAGTTCTATTACTGACACATCAAAAGAACAAAATTAACCCAAGAAAGTTATTTGTTAAACATTAAAAACAAGAAAATTTCAAGCCGGGCTCGGTGGCTCAGCCTGTAATTCCACGCCTTTGGGAGGCTGAGGTGAGTGGATTGCCTGAGCCTGCGGGTTCGAGACCTGCCTGGGCAGGCGAGACCTCATCTCTACAATAAATCAAAAAATCAGCCGGGCGTGGTAGCGCATGCCTGTAATTCTGGTTACTCGGAAGGCTGAGGCGGAAGGATCGCCGGAGCCCAGCATGTCGAGGCTGCGGTGGTCGGGAGCGACCACTGCACTCCAGTCTGGGCGACAGAGTGAGACTCCAACTCAAAAAAAAAAGAAAATTTCAATTAAACTTACATTGATGATGAAATAATTTGTTAGAGCTAGATAAACTCTTAATAAACTTAGTTTATCAAAACTTCAAATTTCATAACAGTAAGAAAAATTAAAACAAGCTACTAACTAAATTCTTACCAGGGGCTGGGCTCCATGGCTCAGCCCGTAATCCCAGTGCTTTGAGAGGCCAAGGTGAGTGGATTGCCTGAGCCCACGGGTTCGAGACCTGCCTGGGCAACTTGGCGAGACCTCATCTCTACAATAAATCAAAAAATTAGCCGGACGTGGTAGCGTGCACCTGTAGTTCCAGCTACTTGGAAGGCTGAGGCGGGAGGTTCGCCGGAGCCCAGCAGGTCGAGGCTGTGGTGGCCGGGAGTGGCCATTGCACTCCAGTCTGGGTGACAGAGTGAGACTCCAACTGAAAACAAATAAATAAATAAATAAATTCTTACCAGGCCTGGTATGGTATCTTCTTCACTGTCTCCATCCTGACTGCTTTCCATATCAACACTGAGTATTACAGCGTTTGAAGTGGTCTTGCATTGTAGCTTGCTACTTTCTGTAGAAACATCTAAGGATAATTTTTGTAGAGTGGATTCTGAATCAGAAGATGTGCTTTTCATCTTTGGAATTAAAGTCCTTCTGCAAGATTTCTTTATTTTAGTCTTCTTACACTTCTTACATGCCATTTCATTGTTAGAATTCTTTTCTAATAGGGACTTGGGGCATTTAAGCTGGTTTAACTTGTAATTACTGAGTGAAAAGGGGGCAAGATAAACCTTAGCTGTTTTTCCTAAAACTGTAGTCTGTACTGGTCTCAGAGATGCATAGGCGATGTTTTGATTTTCTTTATAGTCATTCACCTATTCAGGTCAATAAAGGAAAACAGAGCATTAGAATCCCAGGTCTTAAGGCCTTTTTGTACTGGGTCCCCAACAGTTCTGTTTAAACAAATCTAATCCCTATTTAATAACAACAACATAAATCCAAATTGATACCTGTAAGGATACTTTTTCCCCTCCAAAATCTAGATTCATAATTCATTAACTCCGACCGAATTACTCATTTGCAGGACACACTTCCTGCTCATAGGAGTTTGACTTCTACAACTGAGAGAACGACCCAACTGTCACCTTCGGATCCACTAGAATGTCTCAAGAGTGTGCGGCTGGCAATAACTGCTGGCAAAGCAAACGCAGAGGGCTGAAGACACGGAGTCCCCATCTGATCCTCCCACTACAAACAGTTACTGACAAGCGCCGTCCTCAACAGAGGGCCTACTTTTCCACAGAGGAAAGCCAGGGCTCGGCTCTCCGCCCACCCCGGGCCTGCGCCCGGCAGGTCCCTCAGGAAAACTGAGGCAGGAGCACACCGGGTGGCGTCAACCGGTTTCTCACCTTCACCGAGGGTCGCGGTCTGGAGCCTGCCTTCTCAGCAGCCGCTCCGGCCCCGGACATGTCTCTGCCGCTCAGCTGCCGGCGCCTTCCCGCCAAGATTGCGGCGGGAGGCGAGGAGGGGCGGGGCCGCTCGGATCACCCGCGACCCGGGCGGGACGGCGGGGCGGGGCGCGAGTTTCTGAGGAAGGCCGCCTGACAACCCCACCCTCAGGCTCTGATTCTTCAGGGATGTTGCGGGATTTTTACCTTGGATCTGGCGATTTTGGTGCTGCCGGTACTGGGATCTCACTTGGAAAATCACTGGCGCTTCTGCGGAGCAAAAACCACCTTGCCTTTCAAACGTGAGCCTGGAAAAGATTCACTCACTTAGATGCCATATGGATGGAGGGGAAAGGAAATCAAAATAAATATGCAGACTTGGCCTCCTCCCAATGCTTCCTTAAAACTCGACCACCTGCAAATTATGCCCCATTGCTACCCAATTCTTCTTCCTAGGAAGGAAAGATTTTTTTTTTTTTTTTTTTTTTTTTTGAGTTGGAGTCTCACTCTGTCACCCAGACTGGAGTGCAGTGGCTGCTCCTGGCCACCGCAGCCTCGACCTGCTGGGCTCCGGCGATCCTTCCGCCTCAGCTTTCCGAGTAGCCGGAATTACAGGCGCGCGCTACCAAGCCCGGCTAATTTTATTTATTGTAGATGTGAGGGCTCGCCAAGTTGCCCAGGCGGGTCTCGAACCCGCGGGCTCAGGCAATCTGTTCACCTCAGCCTCCCAAAGCGCGGGATTACAGGCTGAGCCACCGAGCCTGGCTAGATTTATTTATTTATTTTTTTTTTAAGATGATAACTTTTTTTCAGGGAGAAAGCTTGGAAAAAAATAATAACTTGATAACTTACACTAGTTTAAATTCCAACTTATAATCTGCACACCTACCTAATTAAAAATCCTAAGGATGGCCTTAAACGGTCCAAAGCCTGGAGCAGAACTGTGAATCAAATAATCTGTGTATCACAAAAGAAAAAATAATTTTAATGCACTGTATTTCATATAGACAAAGCCATGTTCAGCCATTTTTTCCCCTCCTATAAATTGCCATGGGCCAAAACAATGGCCTTCCCATCAGATTTACTACCTCTGGAAAACATAATTTTTTGAGCTGATAAAGTCATAATATAAAATTCTGAGCCAGGCACTGCGACTTGCACCTGTAATCCCAGCTACTCTGGAGGCTGAGGGGAGAGGATCACTTGAGCCCACTATTAGTTCAAGGCTGCAGTGAGCTATCGTCACACCACTGCACTCCAGTCTGGGTGATAGAGACCTTGTCTCTAAAAATAAAAATTATAAATTAAAAATTCTATCTACTCTTATCTTTAAGTTTTTTTCTTTTTAGCCCCAAATTACTTCCTTGGCTTTTAATTGGGTTCCTCACTATTCCTCACCTGAAGCTTGTACAATTTCATTTCTTAGCTGAAGAGAGTTAATCATATGAACAGCACCTTCAAGGTCCTCCATGACCTGGTACCTGCTGAACTTTCACCACTCCTTGACTCAAAAATTACCGATAAAACCAACTTTTCAGTGTCCTGTATATGACATACTATTTCTGGACTTCCAGACTTTGCCCACACTGTCCCTTCTCTCTTCCACAACAGTTATAAAGTCCTTTCTACTTTGAAATGTGTTCCGACTTTTCATTTAGCCAATTTTCTTTTACACAACCCAGCTTGTAAATGAGGCTGCTTCTGTTATTATTCTAAAAGTTCTTGAGGACTTACTAATAAATAATAATACTTTCTTTTTTGTTTTTTGGGGGAGTTTTTTTGAGTTGGAGTCTCACTCTGTCGCCCAGACTGGAGTGCAGAGGCCGCTCCCGGCCACC